ACCATCCCCAATTTACATTATTATTTTTGTAATATTCAAATGTTATAATAAACATGTCTGGCATTGGAAATCAGAAAAGCAAGTTTTGAAAGTGATAACAAGTGCAGAATGTTTTGACCTTGAACTTCATCAGCGGAAAGAACGTTATTAACTGGATGACCTTAGATCAGTCCTTCTCAATGGGCATCTTCATCTGTAAATGTGACTGAGTGGCCTGGCTGGCTTGCCCTAGGGTCCTACAGACCAGTGCCCAGCCCAGCCTCTTTGACTCTCCCCATTCGGCCCTGCACAGCCTGGCACTCCTACCTCAGCTCCTCCAGCTTGCGCTGGGTGGCCCAGGACCCCTGGCTCCTTCGGGGCATGTAGGCAGCCAGGCAGCGGGTCACCTGCTGCTGAATGCGCTGCTCGCGGGCCTTGCGCAGCTCAGCCTGCTGCAGATCCTCCTGCTGCTGCCGCTCCCAGGCCTGCAGCAGGCTCCTGGTAGTGAGAAGGAGGGGAGAAGACCGGGAAACAGGGACCCAAAGAAGGGCAAGCTACCAGGCAGGGGGTACAGGAGCCCGAGAGGGGCTCTTGGGGGATTTCCCTTACAAAGCAGCTCTCCCTGAGGGTGTGCACCCAATCTTGCTCTTCTTTCTGAGTTCCTTATTGGGTAGGAGCCAGGTTAATGCCTAACAGTTTGAGGCCCAGCTGGACAGATGGACAGACTGAGGGATGAATGGATGGGAACAAGAAAGTGCTGAAGAGACCAATAAATGGAAGGATAGATGGATTAAAGGTGAGGATGGCTGAACAGATAGCAGCTAGACAGATCTGGAATGCTCTTCTCTAGATCTCATGGCCAGATGCTTCTTATCAATCAGGTATGTATTAAATAGCTCTGTCCTAGGCAGACTTTCCCTGACCACCCCATCTACTTCCTAGCTATCTCCCATCACTAGCTATTTTGTTCTTTTCTTTGTTTTTGAGACAAAGTCTTACTATACAGAATCAGGCTGGCCTAGGACTCATGGCAATGTTCCTGCCTCAGCCTCCATTGTGCTGGGATGGTAGGCATGTACCATCACACTCAGTATCATTTCTTTATTAATTGCCCTTCTTCCCAAGTAGAATGTAATCCTCATGAGACCAGGGTCCCTTGTCCTGTACATGGCCACAGAATCTCCAGCACCTAAAACTGAACCTTTAATATATATAAGCTCAATATTTTATGAATTCATACATAATTGAATGATGGCCCTATAAAAACATGGCCAAATATACAAAGAAAGAAAAGCCTGGTATGGTGGTGCATGTCTATAATCCTGGCTATTCAGGAGGCTAAGACAGGAGGATGACAAATTCAAGGCCAGCCTGGGCAACTTAGTGGGACCCTGTTTTAAAAATAAAAAATGATTTTAAAAGCCTGGGGCGGTAGCTCGGCAGTAGAGTGCTTGCCTAGTATGAGTGAGGGTTTAGGCTCAATCCCCAGCACTTCAGGAAAGGCGAGGGGAACAGACACAGTCATTGCTGTGTACATTTACTGAGGATCATTGTGTTGGAGTCTTTGGCACAAGGGCACCAAGAAATAGGATTTCCCGTAAAAGGTGACAGGGTAAGAAGTTCAGAGTGCTATGTGAAAATTAATACATACTGTTAAAAGTCTAGGGGGCCAGGGATGTAGCTCAGTGCCTGGCAAGAATGAGGCCCTGAGTTCAATTCTCGGTACCAAAGAAAAAAGTCTAGGTGGTATGGTGGTGTGTGGCTGTAACTCCAGCACTCCTAGAGGCTGAGGCAGAAATATTGCCAAATTCAAGCCCAACCTGGGCAATTTAGTGACTTAGTGAGACCCTATCTAAAAAAAAAAAAAAACTAAAACAACAAATAAATGATAAGGCACAAGTCAGATTTGATGGCACAGGACTATACTCCCAGTAGGCTGACGCTGCAACAGGACAATTACAAGTTCAAGCCCAGTCTGGGCAATTTAGCAACTTAAGAGAGAAATTTTATCTCAAAATAAAAAGAACTGGGGATGTAGCTTAGTGCAAAGGCCCTGGGTTCAATCTCTAGTACTGCAAGGAGTAAGGGGTGGGCCATACTACACCTAAACAATCAGATTTAATGTATTTATCAAAATCCTAATGACATTTTTACAGAAAGAATAACAATTCTAACTTTCATGTGGAACCACAAAAACCCAAAGAGCTAAAGCACACTCTCTTTTTTTTTTTTTTTTTTTTTTTTTTTGCAATAGGGATTGTGGATTATCCCCAGGGCCTTTGCACTGAACCATATCTCCAGCTCCCCCTAATATTTTTAAATTTGATATAGGATCTTATTAAGGTCACTAGTGAATTTATGATCTTCCTGCCTCAGCCTCCAAGAAAGTTGGGATTATGGTGTGCAGCACCTTGCCCAATTGAACCAAACCAATCTTATCTGATTTCAAAATATACTACAAAGCTGTAGCAGCTAAAACAACAGAATACAGAGCCCAGAAATAATTTCATGCATTTATGGCCAAGTGATTTTTGACAAAGAACACAATGGGGAAAGGATAATCTCTTCAATATATGTTGGATAAACCACTTGATTAACAGTTAATGGATAAATAGAAGATAGAAAATGAATGGAAAGTAGTTTGTGTCAAAAGATAGTTGGCCAAGTAGGCAGAGACAGATAGGTTGTTGAATGGATGTTATCAAAAGATAGAGGGAGAGATGGATGGATGGATGGATGGATAGACGGACGGATGGACAGACAGATGGGTGGGTAGGTGGGTTATGGATGGATGGGTGAATGGGTGGGTAGATGGGTGAGTAGATGGGTGAGTGAATGGATAGAAGGGTTAACAGATGATTGGTTAATCAGAAAAATTGATGAATAGATCAAGAAAGGAGTGAATGAATGGACAAGTGACTCTGTCTTTTGGTGAACTGGACAAGTGACTGTCTTTTGGTGAACTGGCTCCATCTGCATTTCTCATCCTTGGCTCCTGCCCTCCTGTTTTCCCGCCTTACCTAGTGGCTTGGTGTCGTTTGTGGAAGGTGCGATTAGGAAAGTTGGCCGACAAGAAAGTTTCATCATCTCCCCAGGCACGGGCCTTCCCTCTGCCGTTGGAGGTCTGCACAGCAGACTGCCGCAGTGCCTTCCAGGTTTGCTTTTGAGGGTCTGTCCACAGTGGGAGCAAGTCAGGGAAAGCCTCCCACCCACCCAGGCCACTGGGGAGCCTCCCCCAGCACCACCGAGCCCAGCTCAGCCCAGGCCACAGCGAACGCCCGGGCCGCGGCTGTGCTCACCACAGCACTCTTGCTGTAACTGCTGCCGCAGCTTCTCCAGGTCCCAGGGTCCCTCCACCTCCTGGGCCCTAGACTTGCCCCTCTGCGGCCCTCGGAGGGTGTGGGAGCTGGAGCTTCGCGCCTGCAGCGCCTCCTTTCCTAAGGCCTCCTCGCCCGAATTCGGCCCCTTTTTCCGAGAACAGCTCTTTCTGCTGTGAGAGGCACTGTGCTCCCTCTCCTCCGCATCCACAGTCGCCTCTAAGAAGCGCTCCTCCGACAGCGTCTGTCCGGCGGGCAGCTGAGGCCGCTCCCCGGGGCTCAGACCCCGCTCCGCTTCTTCAGCACCCCCGCCTTCCGGCTCAGAAGCCTCTCTGGACTCTGATCCCGATCCTGACCTCTTACCTGGCAGCGGGGAGCTGCACCCGCTGGATGGCTCCAGCCCTTGACTCTCCCCTTTGCTGGGTGAGAGGGGCGTACCGCCACAGGCCCCCAGCTGCTGTCTCCTCTCCAGAGCTTCTGAGAGGCTGACGCTGGACTTGCACCTGGACTTGAGCTGGGGGACCACTGGGAGCGGGGCTGGGGCCTGATGGCCGGGGGCCTCAGGGGAGCTTGGCTGAAGCAGAGCCTGGCCCTCTGTGATGAGGCTCTCCCAGGCCCACTGGAACGGGAAGGAGGGTTCCCGAGAAGGACGGGGGAAGGGACTAAAGAGGAAGAGGGCAGGGGTCAGGGTCAGGGTCCTCCTGGCCTCCAGCTTCCCTCCCAGCCCCGTCCCTGCTGCTCACTTCTCAGTGGAGCGTCCTTTCTTGGTCTGCCCCCGGGGCTTGCTGTCCTTCTTTGTCCTCTGCCCTGCACTCTGAGACCTCTTTGTCTGGCCCTGCCTTAGTACAACATCACCACTCCCCACGGCACCCTAGGCAAAGACAGAGGGGAGCCCAGGTGTGAGCAGCCTCCTGCACCACTCTGCCCCTCCCCTGGGCCCTCTTTATCCTTTTTTTTTTTTTTTTTTTTTT